TAACCTAAACATCTGTACCCCATAATATGCTGAAATAAAAGAAGAAAAAAAAAAAGGAGAGAAAGTAGAAAGACTAAGAGCATAACAGTTCTTAACTTAGTTGTAGATGGAAGGAGACCAGATTGAGGGAATTTCTCCCTTCTTTTCTCTTCTCTCTTTTCCTCTCCCCTCCCCTTCTCTCCCCTTACCTCTCATTTTCTTCCTTCCTCTTCTCCTGCCCTCCTTCCCTCTTTTCTTTTATTTCTTCTTTTCAAATGGGATAGTATAAGCATATTTATAGGTTGATGGTAAAGAGCTGCTAGAGGGATTGAAAATACAGGAGGGGAATAATTGGCATTACAAGATACTAGTATATGGGAGTAAGAGAATACAAATGGAGGGGTGAGCTTTAATAGGTGAAGTCATGCCATTTCCTTTAAGAGGAAGTGTGTGGAAATAGGTAAGTAAAGGTGTATAAAGGAGGGGAGAGAGGGTTGGGTAGTTGAAGGAACCTTGTGGCCTTTAGTGTTACTGATGTTTGAATTAACTTCATTTGCCAAGAGTGACTTTGGCCAAGGGACTGAAAAGTGGTGATGGTTTCTAGTACTTGATCAAGGATAAGTAAAATAATTGGTGAGTAGTTTTGAAAGCGTGAGAATGGATTTAATAAACTTTAAGTGACCCAATTCCTTTGTTCTGCATTTTATCAATCTGATTTCCCCACACGAAGACATTGAATTAAATTGTGATATTGATTTAAGATTGGAGGTTTGCAAGAATTGTGAGGCTGAAGGGTAAAGGGGGATGGGAGTTGAGGGGTGCTCTTGAGAAGACAGTGAAGTGATTGGTAGTCTACGGGGTAGAGGAATAAATGTGGTCAGGAAGAAACTGATAGATGTAGTAAAGTGGAGGGATGGGGCTCTGGACGCTTTGATAAGGTCAAAAAATAGGTGAGGCATAGTAGGTTATAGCCAGAGATTTATGTTTGTGGTTTCAGAGAGGGAGCAAATATGAGTGATGACAAAGACAGGGTATGGCATCGAAGTGGATTGTTGAAGTGAATACGAACACAGTTAGATTTGTTTAGGTGAATGATTGAGGTACGCACATTATATGGATTGTGTTTTGAAAGTGGAGACAGGGTCCAGCTCTGTTGCCTGGGCTAGAGTGCAGTGGCGTCATCATAGGTTACTGCAACCTCAAACTCCTGGGCTCAAGTGATCCTCCTGCCTCAGCAATATTTGCTTGATTTGAATGGGAGGAAAAAATACTGTAAATAGTAAAATTCCTAAAATGTAACGCATTTAGAAGTGATAAAAAAAAAATACAGCCTGACGATTTTATAGTAGTAAAAGAAAAATGAAATTATTTCTGACTTGTGTGTAATAATGTGTCCACTGGGTGTCACTGTGGCTTCATATTTAGCTACACAAATGCCTGACTGTAGGAGCTTTGTATTTGTGGTCAATATTTTACAGGTCTTCTCCCTGCTTATTTTTCTTTCTTGCAGTGAATTTTGCTCATATATTTTTCTGTTTATTTTTAGGTACAGTTATTTATCATCACTGCAGATAAAGCAAATACCTATTCCTAAACTGGCTGCTCCAAACTGTCTTATTATTACTTGGGTGACCAACAGACAGAAGCACCTACGTTTTGTAAAGGAAGACCTTTATCCTTCTTGGTCTGTGGAAATAGTTGCCGAATGGCACTGGGTAAAAGTAAGTTCAGAAGTTAGCTTATTTAAAAAAAAGAAATGAAGTTAGCTTATTTGTTAATACAGGATGACATATAAATCACATAAAGGTAACATCTACTTTTTAATGTGCAACATGTCACTGCTCTACTCCTTCAACATGAGCTAATTCAAGCTTTTGCTTTGCTGCTAAACACTTTTATCTTCTTATTCTCAAGGATTTTACTTGTTTCTTTTGTGTCTTTTTGTAGTAGGGTCCCAAACTGCTGGCCTTGGGAAATAAGTCAGGGAGATACAGGATAAAAGTTTAAAAAGCTCTGATGACTTGTTTCAAAAACAACAAATGAAAACTTTTGGGAATCTATTCATTACCAAACATAGAAATAGTCTTACTCTTTGTCTTCTTTCCCTCTGTATGCCACAATTTCAGTCATCCTTTGTGATTTCTTTCTTTCTTTTTCTTATTTTGCTGGGGATGAGGGCAGAGAATAGCAAAGTAACCCATTTTAGATGGGGTGGGAAGATGCCAGAACCAAGAACCTTTTATGTTCTAAATCTTAATTTAGGTCCTCAGTGCCTTATATACTGCTGGGCCTAGTTTTGAAAGAAATGATTCCAACTCTAGGGTTGGCTGAATGATCTTTAGTACCTCTGTATGCTCTAAGAATACCTAAAAATACAGAAAAATAAGGCATCAGTCCTGAGTTCATTGGGCTTCCTTTTAAAGATACATTGACTATTTAGATGAATTCTACCAAAGCCCGCCTGAATTCTAAAAAGATAAACCAGGTTATCATTTCAGTGGTTAATATTTATATAGCTGGCATATTCATTTCAGACACAGTAGAGTTGTACTTTTATGGGCTTTGTGTATACTTTTTAGTCTACTGGAATATTTTCTAAAAGCTGTGTACGGTAGTGCCGCCTTACCCATGGGGGATACATTCCAAGACCCCCTGTGGATGCCTGACACTGCTTCTACAGGATATAGATGCATCTATAACTATAGGATAGTACCAAAGTACCAAACCCTATATATACTATGTTTTTTCCTATACATACATACCTATGAGAAAGTTTACTTTATCAGTTAGGCACAGAAAGAGATCAACAGCGATAATTAATAATAAAATAGAACAATTATAACAATATACTATAGTAAAAGTTATGTGACTGTAGTCTCACTCTTCTTCAAAATATCTTATTGTATTGTACTCACCAATTTTCAGACCGTGGTCTACCGTGGGTAACTGACACTGCAGAAAGTAAAACTGTGGATAAGGGAGGAACTACTGTATATTGTTTATTTGTACCTATTTTATGAGACTTGACAAACACATATTTAGATATATCTTTGTTTTTATGATATACTTTGGTTTTAGTTTTGGTTGATTTGTTATAGGGCTATGGCAGGAACATAACAACCCATTCCATCTTGCCTGTTGTGGTTGTTCTTTTACAGAGACTGGGGCCAAAGTCGGGAAGAGGTTACCTTCTGAAGTCAAACCCAGTAAAATGTTAATACATAAAAACTAAGACTATTCATCTATAGTAGTAATCAGTTCTAAGAGAGATGGTATGATAAGACAGAGTTTAAAACAACAATACAATATATTAAATGAAGCATTTATTGTGTAATTACACACATTGTTATAACAGAAGGAGTAATCTGCATGGCATATAAAGGCTATGCAAAGAATAAGGATTTGCTGGTATTTATACAGCGCTTTGTGTAAGAGATGCTATGTGTGATTGGCCCTAGAGGAGATAAAAGGACTTTCTGATTACTGATTTCGTTGTTTAGGTGCATTGGTATAGGGTAACGTTTTCATAGATACTAGATATGAGTATTTTGACAGTGAAAATATATATCCCTATGGTAAATTAATGAAGTGACATTATAAATTGTGTTTTGAGTTTGATTAGCTTAAATGAGTCTTTGAGAGTATGGTCATCCCAGGGTGAAAAGATATAATAAAATTGAATTTCTGAATTTATTAAATATAATGCAAGGGCTAGGCTCTGGATCAGGTATTATCTATCTTACCAATCACCCAACTTCTTTCCTTATTAATTTTAGCTTTCACTGTATTTAATGATACAATTTCCTATAACAAAAGGAAAGTGCATTATTATGATCTATTAATACTTAGTCATGTTGCCGGTAATCAGTAAATGTCATTTGAATGAATTCATAAATGCATTACTGTTGACGTGGTTACGAGAAATAAATTTTAATGAAAAGTAGAATTGTTTATGTGAAAAACGAAATAGTTATATTTAAAATATTTGTATAATGTATTTTTTAATCTCTTATAGAAACACTGTGCAATATGGTAGCCACATGTGACTCTTCAGCACTTAAAATTTGGCTAGTCCAGATTGAGATGTGCTGTTAAGTATAAAGTACACATTGGATTTCAGACAGTGTACAAAAGAAAGAATGTAACATGTCTCAATAACTTTTTTGAATTGATTACGTATTGAAATGACAGTATTTTGGATACGTTACATTAAATTAAATTTATAATTAAAGTTAATTCCACTGCATTTTTTTTCCTTTTTTTTTAATGATTCTACTGGAAAATTTAAAATTACATGTGTGGCTCACATTATATTTTTATTGGACAGCACTAGCCTGGGGGTTTAATTTCTTTTTTTGTGTGTGTGGAAACTATACAGTGATGGGGAAAAATAATCCTTTTTTGTTGGCTCCTTCCTATCAGATCACCAATTCAGGAGAGTTTGTGTTCCCATTAGATTCTCCACACAAAAAGCCTTATGAAGGTCTTATACTGGGCAGAGTTCAAGAAAAAACTGCTTTACCATTAAGGTAGGAAAGGTGATTTTTCAAAACTGTATAAATATATTAGTTTTAGGCTTTTGAAAATCATTAGCATAATAATTATTGATTTCCCTTAATTTTTATATTTTTGAAAATCTGAAAGTGGCCCAGAGCAGAAAAGAATGAATGGTATGGTACATGAAATTTTATATTATCTTTTGTTTTATCTATGTGTAATTGTCATTATTGTAAAAGAGGTAGGAGATGTCTCAATACTTAAATTGTTGATTTCCTTCATTGATTCTATTCTTAAATTTGCTTTAAAATCAGATAGAATTTGAAGGAGAAAAAAATCAATGCAACTGTACCATATATATGAATATAAAAATTGTTCTTTAAAATGTGGTTTACCTTCTTGTTCTGTTTTAATTAGAAATGCAAATATAAAAGTGCTTCCCATTCCAGACCACAAATTAATTGTCAGTGTGCCTTGTATTCTTCACTCACATAAGCCACCGCTTGCTGGTATGTTTTTATAAAATAGAATTGTTATCACTTTTGTCAAAATTGAAAAAGGATTGAATTTAGTATTTGAATGGTCTACAGATTTGGAAATTAAATCAGATGTGTGTTGTTTTAATTCATATTTTAAAATTTTATAGTAGAGTTTATAGAGAATTTATGAAATAGAAAATGGATTGGTTTTATGTTACCCTGGCTTTTCCTGTTATACCATTTTGCAGATTCCCCTTATTGTCGGTTGCTTCCCCATCACTAGCCTTGACAGAATGAATGCTTTTGGGGCATCTGAGGGTGTAGTTCAGCTAGGGGCTTTATTTTACTACTAGGGCAGTAACTCTCTTGCTTGTTCTAAAACCAGGAGCTCAGAATAGTAGTCAGAGAAATGGTTAGAATTCTCTTGTTATTTGGTAGAGGTAAAGGGAATTCTTATGTTTTCTAAGAGGTAGTATTGTTTTTCTGAAACATTGAAAGGTAATTGCTGCAGCCTACAATTCCCACCAGTCTTAATGCCTTAGTATAACGTTTATCATCCAGTGAAACTAAGCAGCAAGGGATAGTGGAGAATTTGGCTTTGGAAATTGACTAACATGAGTTTGAATCCTAGCTCTGATATTTGAACAAGTTACGTGAATCTTTTTCTACCTCAAAGTCCTCATTTAAAGAAGGAATAATGATATTTAATCTTCAAGAGTTGTGAAAATTAGTCATGTTTAAAATTCTGTAGCATGTAGTAGCAGCTCCTTAAAGGCTAAATTTTTCAAATCACAGTTTAAAAACATAGGAATGTAAGTGCTTGAGAATTTGTTATTCAAAGTTTACTTTTCAAAGAATTTCTTTAGGAATACATATTTTATTAATTTGGTAATTCCTGCTTAAAAAAAAAAAAACTCCTTCAAGTTGCCACTCAGGAAAACTATAGGCAGCTTATGTTATTTTGCAAAATATGAGCTAGTTCACGAGCTAAGATATGTAGGAAAGTGAACACAGATTCCCAAGAGAATTTTTATTTCTAGTATTCAGGATTTCTGTTATCTTAATTGCTTATGTGGAAGGGTCTTTATAGTGTTGCTTCATTTTAGAAATGTGCAGTTTCTCAAGTGTATACCTGATGATTTGTTCTTTGACTTAGAGGAATTCTCAGTCAGTAATCTTTACACTTTGTAACCTTTATACTTTGGACTGTCACAGACACTTTAATGCATCAATATATGACTTAAATGAAAAGTGAGACTGCACTGTTGTTTGAGGGAAAAAAATTCTGTTTGGCACCAGTTATACCTGATTGTGTATGTACTCCTCTCATTTGAGTTTTCTTTATCATTTGGTGAGTAACAAAGCTTGATTTAGTGTTTGTCTCAGGCTTTATTTTACTTAAAAAAAAATTCAAAAGCTAAGACCTTAAACTTTTCATTCTCAAATGATAGTTAACTATTTAAAAATTCCTTTTAAATAGAATAAAATTATATTTAAAGATTAGTCTCAGGAGAAAGGGTTTAAAATAGTGAGTAAAAATTAGTCTTGCTGTAAAGTATTAGTGTGTATCTTTGACATGCAGTTCTGCAACATTCCCAGTAGAGAGCAGCACAGATACATTTTTAGGACTAAGAACGTTTAAAAACAAAAGTTAGATTTGGGGGGAAAAGTCTGAATGACTCTATATAATCCTTATGTTTTGGTTAAGTAGTGATAGGAAATATTTGTAATACTTTATTTTTGAGTTCATGTTACTGTGTATATTTTGGGTATAGAGCAGTGCAAATTAAAGCCATCAGAAAGCAGATTTCTACGGTATATTTTACTCTGAAGTCATAACTTTAGGGATCCTATATATATAAGGATAATAGGATATTACACAAATTGTGTTCTTAAACACAAATATTTAAGAACATTTACATTTAAATGTTCTTAAACTGTTTTATGCAAATCCATAAAATGAAATGTTTTCCCTTTTGCATCTAGAAACACCCAGATTTTTTCATTTAAAAGTTTAATGTTATTTCTTTGGCAAAATGTTAAAAAAGAGACCACATTGGTAGCATATTCCATTTAAAAATGATACATTTACTCTATTTAAGTTTGAAAATTTTGTAATGTAGATTGCAAGATAAGCCATCAATAACTATAGTTTACAACCTAACATTATAAATGTTTATTAAGTTCAAAAGTAGGAAAATTATGAAATAAAAGTATTTGAATCAAGATTTTGGCTTTAATATTTTACCTTAGAGGAATTTCCACTCCTTCTTACTGCTTTATTACTAACCATTTATATCTGAAGAATGAAATACATTTGATGAGATTCCATGCACTGATGTGTGGGCCAGTTCTCCCCTGCTCCCACCCCATGCTTCCAGAGCAAAAGGGGATGACTGGCTGTGCACAGATGGAGTCTTCTCCATTGGTTAAAGTGTGTTTTTACTAGCTCCAGAGGCTATCTGATTGTCTAAGTACATGTATGTCATACTCACGTTTAAATTTATACATTTATTTTTAAGTTGATATTTAAAATTCATAAGACTATTACATTTCCATTAATTTGCCTTTATTTGTTTTGCCTGATTTTGAAATAAAACAAATATAGTTAACATTATAAAAACACTGTTTGATGTCTAGTTTTTTTTTAACTAGAAAGAAAAGGAATCACGCAAAAATGTATTACATTGAGAAGGTAGGATGGTAGTAAAGGGGTGTAGATTGTATGTATTTTTCTGCTCCATCCAAGTACCTGGCCATCTTTTTCTATTAGATTGTGAACTCTTATAAAACAAGGATATTCTGCTTCCTTTGTTAAGTCCCATAGCACTGATTATAGTGGGTGCTCAGAAGAGTAAACAATTTTGAATGGCTGACTCCACTTTAAAGTTCCAAAATAGGGTTGCTAACATCTTTGTACCAAAAAATTGAACAAACTAAGCAAAAGCAGACAAAAACCTTATTTCAGTATAACCTTAGACCACATTACAAGTGAATCGAGACTGGTTAAGTTCATGGGGAGAAAATGGAAAAGTGATATAGGGTTATTGTCCTCTGAGACTCTGGGGAAATTTTTCTCTTTCAAGTTTAGTAGTATTTAATTTATATACTTATGAAAGGACTAGAAATCTTCATGCCAGCATCTGCTAGAAGCTGTCAAAGTCCACATTTGAGTTCAGTTGAATTATAGACAATGAAAACTTTGAATTCTTTGATTTTTTTGCTAAACAGGACCAGTACTTTCAGACAAATGAAGTATTTTGCTATGAGATCAGCTGAAGAACATGATGAAACCTTAAATGTTTGATATGTTATCTTTTAAACCTTACCCATATCAAGTATTCCTAAGGAACCCTTATTATTCCTAAAGGGAATCTGATAGATTTCTTCCAAGCTCAATCATACATAGCAATTATGAACTATATTTTACCTTTTCTAGTGACTTTTCTTCTTTGAATTATTATTTTCATAGCCACTTCTTATTTATGTATGTGGTTAGTATAACTAACCAGCAACATAATCAAGGTTAAATTGATTTAAATATTTATCATCCAGCTGAGCATGTGCTTTAAAGAAAAAAAGTATATGGTATTCTTTTCTTTCTTTTAAAGATGTAAACCACAGCTGTTTAGCCAACATTTATATGAGATACCTTTCCCCAACAAATATAATTTTCAATAGTTATTAATATATTGAATAATATAATGCTTAACTATGTTAGTACTTAACTATGGAAATAAAATGGTGAAATTTTAGGTAAAGAAGGATCTATAATTTTTTTTTTTTTTTTTTATGAGAGAGGGGCCTGCTCTGTCACCTAGGCTGGAGTACAGTGGCCCAATCATAGCTCATTGCAGCCTCCAACTCCAGGGTTCAAGAGATCCTCCTACCTCAACCTCCCCAGTAGCTGGGACTGTAGGACTGAACCACCACTTCTGGCTAATTTTTAAATTTTTTTTGCAGGGATGGGAGTCTTGCTATGGTGCCTAGGCTGGTCTGGAACTCCTAGCCTCAAGCAATCCTCCTGCCTCAGCCTCCCAAAGTGCTAGGATTATAGGCGTGAGCCAACCGTGCCCAGCCAGGATCTATAATTTGAACATGAAGAAATCTTAGTACTACCAATTACTAAGAGGGCCATAGTTATCTGTTAGTTATTTGATCTGAATATTTCTATCTATTCTTCTTTACTACTCTTTTACTAAGGGATATGTTGCAAAGAGACATTTTATCTTAGTTTTTTAAATGGGTTGTCTTTGTATTTCTTTAGAGTTCTTTTTCGTGCATGGATTATATTTATTAAAAAATGAATTAAGTTAGTACTCAGGAGATATGTCAGCAGTATTGGAAAACTGAAAAGTCACCTAGGTGGGTGTTAAAATCCTCATTTCTCATCTATAAACAGAAACCAATAAATCAAGACTACTGAAAATTTTCATGGTATTCCCAGTCTCAAGGGCCCTTATTTCAAATGGCTTTCTAATGATAAGTGTTAAAGCTTGTGATGAAATCCTTGAAATTAATTTGCTGTCTTTTTTTTTTTTTAAAAAAATGAAACATCCCATCTTTTCTACTCTTAACTGTTAAAAGGAAATTGATCCTTTTCTTAATAATAATTTTTGTTTTTTTTTCTCTTTTTTGGACAGAGGTTCTAAAAGACTACATCAAGCCAAATGGGGAATGTTTGGAATTGTTTGCTCGAAATTTACAGCCAGGTTGGACTAGTTGGGGCAATGAAGTTCTCAAATTTCAGCACGTGGATTACTTTGTTGCTCTGGAGCCTGGAAACTGTTAATATTATCCTAATTAAAATGGTGGCTTCTTCAGTGTTTCCTCACCGCTTTTCCCTTCATTCTTACTCATTTTTCCTTTTATTACCAACCAGTATGCTCAGAGATGTAAACAGGAGTTGGTTTTTCAGTAAAGTGACCAGAAGTGACTAGCCTTCAGGTAATTTTAAGATGAATTTTACGTTAGTTGCACCAATATTCTACATTGTTCTAGACTCTCTACAAATAAAGAGGTGAACAGAAAGATGGCAAGACTATCCTATTAAAAAAGTTCAGAAAGTATACACTGTGGACCAGAGGTCATAATCCTGTCTATGGGTGTGTTTTGTTTGGACCATACTGTAGTATACAAAAATTTGAACCATCATTCTAAAAAATTGGGAAATTTTACATAAAAGTCCAGAATTCTGCTTCTCTTTAAACATCAGAAGCTCTGGCTCCACTGAGGCCTGTGTTCTTTCCTGGCCTCAGTCTGCAGGAGCTAGTGGTGGTGGCTCCTGTGGGAAGAGCCATGTACTCTCCAGTTTACCGCGGTACCGCTTCCTCCATGCTGCTCTCTTACAAGATCTACTTATAGATATGACCCGAATTTGCAACCTCTTGTGCACTGTTATATTCTGGAAAAAGCATTTAGAGGCCTGCCAAGTACTGCATTGGTACTGTATTAGTACTGGTACTAAGTTTATGCAACATTTTTGGGGGGTCTTAAATTGCATTTGTGGTCACTTTTCAAGCACTTCTTAGTTTTGCTTGTTTTTCTAGAAGAAAATTAAAAGATATTTCTTATAAAAATGTCAGAAAGTAAACCCTGCTTACGATTGTGAAAAAAATATTTATATTTATTTGTTTACCAAATAAATATTTGTTTACCAAATAAAATGTTTTGACTGAAATGATTCTTTGAAAAGCATACTGATTTATTATGTATTACCTTTTAAAAAATTGAGGTATAATTTTCACATAATAAAATTCTCCAATTTTCATTGTAGAGTTTAGTGAAAACATGTATACAGTTTTTTTCAAAACACGTATACAGTTGTCTGTCTACCATTATGATCATGATATAGAACATTTCATCCACCCCAACAAAACTTCTCATGTGTCCCTTTGAAATCAATCCCCTCCTCCCATCTGTGGCCCCTGGCAAACAGTGATGTGCTTTCTATCATTAGTTTTGCTGTTCTAGAATTTCATATAAATGGAATCATGCAATGTGTAATCTATTGTGTCTAACTGCTTTCACTTACCATGTTAAGAAAAGTATTTATACTATTTACAGATTATCTTCAAATATTTATCTATTGAGTAAAATATTAGACTGAAATGATTCTTTGGCAAGCTTGCCGATTTATTCACTGATTTTGTCAAAGAAAAATACGTTATTTTTGAAGTTTGTTCATCCTTTGAGTGTATATGGTATCAGAGGCTTATTCTAACTTGTTATTTAAAAAGAAAATGGTATTAAACTTGAAGCAAACTTTTCACAATTTCATTTTGAAATTTTTTTGAGCTCCTTGTGGTATTTATAGTATATATAGTTTGTGGAAACATTTTATCCTTGCCAAGTTTTTGGACTTTTGCATCATAAGTACTGGTGCTATTTTCTCTGAAGAGAGAAAGAGAGAATTTTTATTCAGTGAATCTGGTATTCAAGTAGCAGGAGTTCTAGCCCCTGCTCTGCTCCAGAGGTTGTACAACCTCTGATCCTTGTTTGTAACACCAGTTTAATAGCTGGGCTCTTTTTTGAACAAATGATGATTCTACAACATAACAATAACATCCCTTGTGAGAATAAAAATGAAGGAGTATGAACATTGAACCTCAACTTTATTACCACTCAGTTTTAGCCAGGTGACCTGATGAACTTATATATTATAAGGTGTTTTCAGAGCTTTCTATATTACCTCTATAACTTGTAAGAATTTTGTGTTTTTTTTCCTATCATATTCTCTTTATAGGTTTAAGGTCTTTAGTATTGGTAGTAATGCTTGAGCAAAGGGATGGAGCTAACATTTGTTGAGTAGTATGTGTTACTCTGTGCTATGCTTTTTACGTATTTTATTGCATTAAATCCTTGCACAGTTCTGGGATATAGGTACTATCTTCATTTAATAATTGATTAATTGAGAAAACTGAAGCTAAGGAGGCAATTTTCCCATAAACACAGAGTAAGAATTGAAACTAGGTTTAACACGCAGTTTCCTGACTCCAAAAACTGAGCAAATGACTAAGGATTTCTAAAGTGATATCACTACCTTCTAGCCTGTCCCCTCTAGCGCTAGAGTTGGGTTTTATTTGGACTTACTCAGAGGCCGTGGGATCACAGTGGACGTCCTGGACAACCCATACGTATTAATAAAAAGCCTCCCTGTCATTTTGCCCCCACATGGTTAACTGCTGACACCACTCAAGAAACGCTGGAGGAATCATGCCTTGTAACATCATATCCTTGGAATTCCTGGTCTTTCTCTTGACGCTCTTTCAGCCTCCTGCACGGGGTCCAGTAGAGTAAAATCACAGACACAGACTACACACAAAATCGCAACTACTCTCTTGGAAGCAGATCCTCTTTAACTTGATCCTTTTGCCACCTGTCTGTCTTTCTTGTTCAGCCTTTCTTGACCCTCTACTCAAAGTGTGACTTGGTTTCTTTTAGTTCTCCTGGCCACTGGAGGTGCAGGGTCTTTTTTGTACTTAAAAGGCAGTAAGTTCAGCGTAGCAGTCAGTGCAGTCTAAAGCCAACGTGGCTAACTTTGAACCCCAGCTGGCTTTTAACTTTGGGCAAGTTAGTTGTCTCTAAGCTTGGTCTCTCCATCCATAGAGATGGACAATAACAATACTACCTCACAGAGTTGCTATGGGGACTAAATTAGTCAATACACGCAAGGCACCTTGCATATTTTTCAATTTCAGAACGAAAGGGTTCTTTATCACAGTTCGGACTCTAATTCAGTGAACTCACTGGAAGTTAAATGTTAGCTCCATTCCTTTGCCCCTAAACATTACTGAACCACCCATAGAGTTTTTTTCTATCTAAACATCCTTTTTTCTTAATCTTTTTCTTGGGATCACATTTCCCAACTTGCACCTGATTTCATATGTGAGGAAGCTATAACATCTCCCTTCTTTCCCATTGTGCTCCTGCCTAAAAAACAAATACAAACAAATTAAAACACGGGCCACGTGTGGCTTTGAGCTTCATTTTTTGATTGCCTGCTGTCATGTGGACTCTAGGCTGTGTAGCTACTCTACTACATTGCTCTTTGTGGACTTTCATCGGTGGTTAATAGGTGTTTCTTTATGTGTCTTCTATATTCAGAGACTTCAGGCCCATGTCACAGTAATTTTGGTTCCAAATGCATGTTACACTTTGCTGCAGGTGTTAGGAACTTGATCTTTTTGTGCCACCCCAGGTATTTTCCAGTTAGTAAGGCACAGACCAAGTAAATAAGACCTGCTTCTTCGGGTGGTCTGAAAGGCACCAGTGGGAATAGGTTTCTCCTCTTAGATGCCAATATTTGAGGGACGTCAACAGCACCATGGGCCAGAGGTCTTCTTGGAGGAGGATATAACACAGAGAGCCTAGTCGGTGACTGTGGGGAGATTAATTCTATATCTGCGTCTTGGCTGGCTTTAGTTGCAGCCTTTGCTCTGTCCTTGCTGTAGGCTCTTATCTACCTTGTCCTGTTTTAGTCCTCCAAATTCTATAGCTCAAACTCATTCCTACAAGAAAATCCCAGGCCCCCAAATCTTCCCTTTTCGAGCTTGCTACCCTAGAGACACATATCTTTAGAGAATTTTTATGTATTCAGCTTCAGGCAGATACTGGGTTTTCTACTGATGTGATTTAGAGGAGGATTATAATCACTTCAAGGAAACTTCCCTTCGCTGAAGATGCTGCCTGATTCAACTCATTTGACTCATGTCATGCACCACGGGCCTATCACACCCTGGTAAGCACAGCAGTGCTGTTTGCATAGTGCTCTGGTTGCCAGAGTTCTTTTACTTCCGTGATCTCACTTTATCCTCAAAGCGATCTTATCAATGTGTGAATACAAGGAGGGAATAGTTTATAAAGGCTACTACTAGGGCTAATAACTAAGACTTGAATTCTATTCTGATTCCTAAATTAAGGCACTATATGGTGTAGCATGTTTGCTAATGAACCTGAGGTCTTTATAGGCCCATCAATTGCTAATCAGAGGGTTCACTATGTGGCCTGGAGCAAATTTAGAATGGTTCATATATAATCACCCAAACATACTTTTCACAATATACCATTTCATTAGTCTTGGGTTATTAAGACAATATTTTTTGTCAGAGTTTAGCGATGGCAGTTGAACTGATAGCCTGAGTGCAACTTAGAATCACTCAGAATCTGATGGGCTGCTAAATCCTTTGACATATGACATTAGCACTTTTATTATACCATGTGGTTGTATTTTTTTTTTTTGAGACAGAGTCTCACTTTGTTGCCCGGGCTAGGGTGAGTGCCGTGGCGTCAGCCTGGCTCACAGCAACCTCAAACTCCTGGGCTCAAGCAATCCTTCTGCCTCGGCCTCCCGAGTAGCTGGGACTACAGGCATGCGCCACCATACCTGGCTAATTTTTTCTCTCTCTATATATTTTTAGTTGTCCAGATCATTTCTTTCTATTTTTTAGTAGAGACGGGGTCTCGCTCTTACTGAGGCTGGTCTTGAACTCCTGACCTTGAGCGATCCACCCACCTCGGCCTCCCAGAGTGCTAGGATTACAGGCGTGAGCCACTGCGCCCAGCCCCATGTGGTTGTATTTTAACCATACAGACTAGCCATTTTAAGTTCACTTTTTAAGGATGCTGCTCTGCAAAATGTTCACCTGGACTTGAGGATGTTCAGGTGGTTAGAGAGGGGAGATTAAGAAAGGTAAATCCAGGTGCAAATGATTTATGGTGATCGGTTACCAGTGTTTGGATGTGTGGACTAACCCAGAACTCCAGAGAGGGTCTTAATTAAATTCACGGCTT